ATCTATCTATCTATCTATCTATCTATCTATCTAGCTAGCTATCATTTTGTTTGTCTGTACCATCCATCCATCCATCCATCATCTATCTATCTATCTATCTATCTATCTATCTATCCTTCAGTGAGGCTGAGAGCGTGAGTGAGGGAGAGATGAAGGTGTGAAGGTCTCTTTTTTCACACCCTCCATGGGTCATCATTGGTGTTATGTTATTCTGCTGCCCAGGGGTATTTTTTTCTGAAACGGACAAAAACGTTTAAAATGTCCATGTGAGACTGACAGAGAGTGATATATTTAAAATAAATGAAGGAATCAGAATCAAGAGGCATAATATATTACACCAGTGTGGGACAGAGGTGTGTCTGTCCTCCATTATTCTCTCTCTCACGCCATCCCTAAGTTCCCAAATAAGATCTGGCACTCTCACTAACATCAGATCATTATTTCTCTCTCTTTCTTTCTTTCCATCTCTCTCTCTCATTTAAGACGGCCAGACCTTATTACCAAGGACAAGCTGTCCTGTCCTGTCTTCGGCCCGTGCGTCTGGCCCACATGTAACCAGCCGTCGGCCGCTCTTAGCTCACCTCAACCCACATGCATCTCACATGACGTCCACCTGTAGCCCACTTCATATTAGGAGCAACCATCGCTGACCCACTTAGATCCATGAAGCTCACCAATATCATTTCTCAAGAACCTGTCAGCATTATGGAGGAGTCCTGGATTAAGCGAGTTTGTGTGTGTACGAGTGATGGATGCAGTTTGAGGCGTTTTAGGATGTTAAATGACCTCCTCTGGGACCGGAAATTAGGCCTCATTAGAGCTGCACCATGATGCAGAGTGACATTTGTGTGTGTTAATCTACATTAGATCAAATATCTGTGCAGAATGACTGTGTGTCAGTGGGAACTATTATTGCTACAGTATCAGATCTGTGTCTGTGAGTCTGTTTGTGACACCATATCACACATTATTTCGTAGCATGCAGAATGTATGCTGTTCATATTGAATGCATTTTCTGTACAAATGTACTAGTTGACATTTTGCCAAAATATGCAATGTACAAGAAGAACCCATGTGAGATACTGTACCCCAAAATGCAGTGCTCTTAACTAAAACTTTTATGTTGATAGTGACAAATCACTATTGTTAACATCTGTCGTGACTCATTATTTGATAAGGCTGCCAGAAGTATAGACATTTCTACACAAACTTGGATTAACTTGGAACTTGGAAAAAATCTATTCTGAAGTATTGTTGTCTTTGCAATGACAAAAATGTACTTGAGAAGCAGCACTGCATATGATATTAAGACTTGTGTTCAGAGAATGTTCAAAACAAGTGTATTTTGTCTGCACTGCCTGATTTTTTTCACATGTAAAAAAAAAAACAAGTTTAAAACAAGTGAAAATATCTGCCAGTGAAGTAAGACAAAATACACTTTTATTAAAAATACCAGAATACACTTACATTCAAAATATAATATATGAAAACAAGGCTTAGTGATTTATGCAGTGTTGCTTTTCAAGTATATATATATTTTTATATTTTTCCAGGAAAACAAGTCATAAATGACAAAGTAACCTGATTAAGAAGTGATTGCGGTTGATTGTTTGCTGTGTGATACCTGTATACTAATGTCATAAATCTCTTCTTTTCTTTCACAGCTACATCAGATGGGACGCGTCAGGGGCTGGAGAGCATGAGAGGAGGAGTTTGCGCTACACAGGGCATGAAGGTGGTGCTGAAAGTGGGACAGAGTGAGTAACACACACACACACACACACTCTTGGGAGCATATCGGCAGACAAAGCCAGAGGGTTGGTCACCTGAAACAGTTCAGATGCTGGATTTGCAGAAACTTAGGCACAGTAAAGCGTTTCTCTCAGTGGCACACATGACCACGCTCGTGACCAATAGCTTTTGTTTACACGCAAACACAAACTCTGTTGGCCTCTTGTTAGTTTTCATTATTAAGCTCAGGAAAACAGCAGTAAGTGAATCCCAACAGACTGTGGACACAAGTCCCTGAGCCGTAACAGTACACCACAAACACTCGTGTCTGTTGTGTGTTATTTATCAGTCATGCCTATCACACTACACTGTTGAATAAGAGAGGATTAACACAGCTCAAAGACTATGAAACATTTTGTTTTTATTTTCCTCTTTTATTTATTTATTTATTTTTTTTGGCCTCTGTCTTTAGCTATGATTTTGATTTTTGATTTTTTTTCAGAACATTTATTGACTTTACTTAAAAATCCCTCTCGCTCTCTCACTGTAGTTGTCATCTGCTTCGTGGCTGAAAGGTCACGTCTGTTTTGTTTGTCATCTAAATAAAAACCGTTTCGGTTGGAGATATCTGATGAGATGTGCTGCACACACACACACACACACACACACACACACACACACACACACACAGACTGTCATGGCATTTTGACAAGTGTGACAGCTCACCATAAGCTCAGAGATGACTGTGTGTGTGTGTGTGTGTGTGTGTGTGTGTGTGTGTGAGAAATGTCTGTCTGCTGTCTAAAGTGTTTGTAATCTCAGCAGTAGCCCCTCAACAACAACATAATGGTGTGAAACATCTTAAAGGAACCCTATTCTACACTTTTGCATTTTATACTAATCCATATCTGTTGTAATTGACCCTTTGTATCTGCTCTCTGACCTTTAAAATCAAACAGATTTTTTGCAACTATACCTTTGAGACTTATGCAAATACAATTCTTGATGATTGGTAAACAATTGCATATTAATTAGTATTAACTTGCTGATTACTGAATAGTTGATATTTACACTACCGGTCAAAATTTTGGAGTGATTAAGACTTTAATAATGTTTTTGAAAGTAGTCTCGTCTGCTCATCAAGCCTGCATTTGTTTGATAATATAGCAAAAACAGAAACATTGTGAAATATCTGTAAAACTTAAAATAACTGTTTTCTCTTTTAACGTTATAAAATGAAATGTATTCATGTGAAAATGCACAAAGTTGCATTTAAATCACAGTATCATGCTTATAAGGTTGTGATATGGTAGCATATTTGTTTTTGTTACTGTATGTTGTGTGCAGGTTGACTGAACCATTATTATTACTAAACGGTTTCTCAAACATGTGTCCATAGGTCCATATGGTCTGCCGGCCAAATCTCCCAAACCTGACCCCGCGGACCGTATCAACAGCCTGAATCCAGGTAAACACAGCTGCCTTCGGTATCATGAGGACATGGCTCATCCCAAACAGACACAACATTAATAAAAGAACAGAACTAACTAAAGGAACAAGGGAAGGAAGCGACAGATGGATGGAGAGAAACAGGCGTCTTGGTGCTCGGGTCCTTTTTGAAATATTCCACCCTTCTGTTTGTTCTCTCCTCCTCACGTTCCCTCCTTTTTTCCCCTCTTTTCCACCGTTCGCCGTCTTCTACGGAGGCCCTGGAGCCACGAACTGGAGGCAGAATGCGGTGGGGGTAATGGCCGCACGGGGAAAGATAAAGGATGAGAGGAGGAGAGAGCCATCGTTTCGGAGACTTATTAATGCCATTAGTTTAGCGGCTTGGGTTTAGTTGGTCCTGAGAGGAAGAAAGACACAGAAAATGGGAGGGAGAGGAGGATGATTAGTGTAGGATGATAGAAAGAGAAAATTACTCACACTCTTTGTTTGCACGGGTTTGACATTTGGGAGTGAGAGACTGGTGCCTTGTGTCCTATTCTGTTTTTTCTTCGACATACAAAGACGAAAACAAAATCTATCTATCTATCTATCTATCTATCTATCTATCTATCTATCTATCTATCTATCTGTCTATCTGTCTGTCTGTCTGTCTATCTGTCTGTCATGACTTGGAGTGGTGGAGGATGTAGGTGGGTTTGGGGGGCTGCAGGTCATTATGAGCACAATAACACGGACAGTCATAGAGACACGGAGCGAAGGAGGAGGTGGAGGAAAGGAGTGAGGGATGGAGAGAGAAAACGAGAGGAATTGTGTCAAGAATAATGATGGGCCAATTGAGAGCGCCTGCAGTCAGATCCCTGTATTTCCGACCATTCCCGTGCTCGGCAGGGGCTTTCATTGTCTCCCGTAGAGATCACAACTGCACACACACATATACACGCACTGAAACATCAGCTATATCCGGCTAAGTAAGCACAATGGTCATTTGTTCCATGTCTTGTATTTAATGTGTGTGTGTTATCAAGCTCGTTGTACCTTTCCAATCTGTGTTTCCCATTGCCAGTAAGCTAGCTTCCCTTCTTAAAGGAATAGTTCACCCAAAATCAACAATGTTTTATTCTGTGGAACACAAAATGAGAATATTGTGCTACTGCCAGTTTGCATACACCGGAACTATAAAGTAGTCCATAAAACTCATGTATTTCAGGTCTTCTGAAGGCTTGTGTGAACACCAAAATTTAAGTTTGATTCAGTTCAATTCAAATTTATATGTAAAGCACTTCCCTCAATTACAGCTTTAAAGAAAATGTTTCAAATGTTACAATCAACAAGCCAGAAGTGACTGTGTCAAGTTGTTTTTCTATGAAAATTCATTTCGGTTGGCATTTCAAGCTAATTTGATGTCACTAAACACCATTGGTTCTTACATGTTGCAAACAAAACATGCTGTAGCAACAGAGGGCAAGATTTACATTGTAAAAATCACATACATAGCAGTCCGTTGCTCACTCAAAGCTATCGTATTGCTTCAGAAGTCATATGGACTATTTTATGTATATTTGTGAAAACAGCAGATTGGATATTGTGCAAAACATCTCATTTTCTTTTCCACACAAGAAAGAAAGTCCTACATATTAGATTTTCATTTTTGTTTGAAGTGCCCCTTTAATAACCTATAAAGTCTTTTATAGTAAGGCAGTCCACCTTTGAGAATGACCATGTGGTTGTTATCTAGCACATCTCTATTGTGTGGTTTTGTACTTCCTCAGGTTCCTCGTCTTAAAGAGCCCAATCAAGCCACAGCGTTTAGATTGGCTTTCATTTCCCCTGCGAAATGCCTCCCACACGCCATAATCCCGTTATGTAAAGATAAATGACTAATATAGCCTCATAGATCCCACATCTATTAAAATGCGCTCTCAGCTGTTGTTCATAGAAGAGGCTAAATACACCATTCCAGTGTTTAAACCTGCAGCACATAAACCACAGCTCATGTTTCATTTGTAAAAAAAAAAAAAAAAAAATGTATTTATTATGTTTTTTTATTACAGAGGAGAACATTTAGAGCTGCTGCTCCCTGGTGTGTACTCTGAGTGTTTAACAGCTTTTAGGGCAAAAAAAAAAGAACAAAAAAGTTGCTATATTAAGAATAATTCATGGTGTAGCCTCATCTGCAAGTACTGTAAAGGCCAGTTCACACAGAGAGGAAATATTCAGCATGGATATTCACTCAAAAGAGACTTTGAGTTAAAAAAACAGCACTTCTATGAAGCTATTTATACTGGAGATTACACTTTGACTGATTATGGACGGTTTTTCCAATTTACTCTCATTGTGAATAGACCTTTTGTCTGAGATTTGTCACTTTTACATTTCGTTCTTGTTGTGAACAGGCCTTAATGCTGTGTCCAAATACTCATCTCCTCATCTTTATTTTTCAACTCAACGGTCTGATGATTGCGGTTCACGTCTCCATTGCCAGACCGCAGTGGCTGACAGTTTACACTGCGTGTTTTATGGCCGTGCCAAAACGTGCATGTTCACGGAAACCCAATCCACCTTGACTCATTGTGATGTGAGTCACTGGTCAGCGAGTTCAGAGAAAAGTCCAGTACTTTACAACATCCTCCAAACTTTATTCAGATTTCTGACAGTTTGAGTGAACACGGAGGACTCTAATTGGTTCGGTCTGATCTGTTAAGGACATGAACAAGCCAATCAAAGGGTTAGATGACTGGCCCCATTTAATTTGTTACATTTGATTGGTTAAAGTCATTAACTAGCCCATCAGATGATGAGGTAGACGGAGGAAGGCGATGCTAGAGGGCAGGATGCGGCAGCGCTAATGAACCCGCTACATGAGACTAATACTCATGTAAGTGTCAGAGGGCACTTCTCTGAGTCCGCGCTCCAATACGGGAACAAGTTAAAGGTGGTCATCTCACTAATGGGTGTCATCGCCACATGCAATCCAGAAAGACTCGGAAAAGTTTCCCTGACAAAAGCACTGAACTTGAGAAAACTACATGTTTAGCCAAGGGACGTCAATTTAGGAGACTTGTGTGAACTAATCTAATGTGCATGTTTGTTCAAAGAAGCAATATGTGACACACTCTATCATTTTAGCGGCTATCACAGTAAGCTGTTTGTAGGGAAAT